ACTTGATGATGGAAGCGATATGCAGGAAGAATCGGAAGATGAGCTGGTCGAGAAGCTGATGATGGAAGAATTGATGCCCGAATTAGCACGTGAAAAAGAGCTCGGCGACGGCCAAAGTGAATCAGGCCTCACCCCCGAAACAGCGGTACTCAATCAGCGAAAATCACGAAAACGCTCATCGTTTCCACGAAAACCAGATTTAGCTACAGTTGCAAGCACTCTGATGTCCGATCGAATTAATTTAGTTATTCCAGCCGCCAATAATACGCCCAAAACAGCTCTGCACAGCATTGAACGTATCGCCGATTTGAACGGATATGTGGAGATGTTTTCGGATGAGATCAGCGCGCTGCTCAAAGAAATGGTCGTAAGTGTAGCGCTACAGGTTGATTATGTTGAAAAACAACAACCTGCTTCTTTATCGGACTCCAAACGAGCAGCACCGATCCCATCTTCAGCAAAAGCAATCTCCCTGAAAGAGGCACAAAAAGATTTTGGTGATTTAACACTGGAAGAATTCCTACGAGGCATGAATCAACTGGAATTTTCATCGACAATACCTGCCAAAAGAAAACGTCGTGGCCCCCCAGCAGCAGCAGCAGCAGCAGCAACAGTAACGCAAGATGCCGAAAATACGGAACCAGCACCGGCAGATTCCTCGGAAGACGCGAAAACACCGATTCGAAGGCGACGACAAAGCAGCCAGGATCAATCTTCATCTTCTCGGCCACCTTCTCAGCAGAAGAAACCGCAAGTGGACGAGCAATGCATTGCTGCTGTTGAGCAGGTTTTGAAACAATCAATTTTACATGCCAGTGGCAAAGCTCCAGAAGAAAACGTGCTACCACCACGAATAAATCTCTTGTAAGACGCTTTTTATTTTTGCGTAAGAAGATAAAAATATTTTTTTGTTACTAGATGCGGCAGATTTAAGCAGAGCTATAAATGGTATTTAAGGGGAGTAAGTGTATTAGCCAACATGCTGCGTTCAGTTCATGTTTACAGCTAAGGGATGAAACACAGGCGACCACCCAATCTCGCAAGAGATTGTTGATTGGTATTCAAGGAGCAAATATTAGCCTACATGCTGCTTTCTGTTTGTGTTTACAGCTAAGGGATGAAACACAGACTGCGATCCAATCTTGCAAGTGATAATTGATTGATCCCTTATCCCTTACTTTATTATTTATTGACTAATGGTGGGGTATACTAATCGTATGAAAGACTGAAATCAGTAGTGTATATGAGAAAATAATAATTCAACTTTGTACTCAACTGGAACTAGATTAAGCAAACAAGTTGTATTCAAATGAAATTAGATTAAGTAGAAATGAAGTAGGTTTTATCAAAGTAATTGAATTCAAGTGAATTGAAGAAACGAACTGTAAACGTGGTGATTGAATGCGGTTCTGTGGAATATCTGGGAGGAGTGCTAATACCTAGTTCGGTTTTCCAAT